TGGAAAAGGAGGCAGTAGAAGTCGTCATTCTGATTGTATTACGCACCTCTAGATGAAGTCAAAAGGAAGGATGAGGTAACAATTCATAGTCAAGAAACAAATTATATTCTATACAGCAACACGTGTCAGTAGAGGGATAGAACCACATCAGCCATGGAAACAAGCACAAATGATCAGTCTGAGACCTGTGGCCATATAGTAGCTGTATTGGCTAGAACAAAAAAGACTAGTCAACCAGGTCTGGACAGATTGTGGCAGAAGATTGTGTCACACACAAATGATCAATATAAATGGTGGGGTGACAGAGCTGATATGTTGTAGCAGAGCATGGCAAGGTCAATGTCTGCAAGGTTGGGTGGACTGGTTGATTGAGGAGTGGCAATCTGAATGGTGGGGTCGATTAGAGGACAAAGGGACCATAAACATGTTAGCTGGAGCAGTGCACAACCAAACATGTTAAGAATGCATGGCTGGAGTAAAACATAGCCAAACAGAACCCCTGGAATTAAGGTTTATTCCCCCACCCCCATCTCCTAATAAAAGTTGAGAGATAAAAGAATCTAAGAGAGAGAACCCATATATGAAAGTGTCTAGCAGGGTGTGCCTCTCAGTGTTATTCATCACAGGGAAAAGGCTACGTAGATTCTGTTAGAATAGATATGATTAGAACTGGGCCACCTCTGTTCGAGTTTGGTTCTTTGGATAGGGACATGGGAACCATCTCACGACTAAGTCTACTGATGTTCCTAAGGAGGAAAAATCTGATTGGGAAAAGATTGACAACCAGCTTCTGAGTATCCTTTTGCAGTCTATTGATCCAGTCGTCTTGGACATCTTCTATTCTTTTCAAACTTGCACTGAAGTGTGGGAGGAAGCAAAAAACCTCTACACTAATGATGTTCAGCAGCTCTATTTCATCATTTCTCAGTTTATGGAACTGAGCAAATCATCCGACATTCAGATAGAGACATATGTTGTCAAAAGTCGATCTTTGATGCAGGCATATTTGGATATGTTGCCTTACCCTACTGATGCTTCTGCATATCGGAAACAGGTGGAACGTCTCTTTATGGTTGCCACACTGTCTGGTCTCCCCGAAGAATATGATAATGTCCGGGATACTATCTTGACTAGTGGGGATCCTGATCTATCAATGACGTATCAGCGTCTTCTGAATCTTAATAAGAAATCTGCTCCTGCATCGTCTGCTGTTGTTGATTCCAATGCTCTAGTTTCCCGTACTGACTTTCGCGGGAACATTGGAGGTGGACGTGGTCGTGGTAGAGGCCAGGGAGGACGTGGCTCAGGAGGACGTGGTCAACGACCTCGTTGTCATTATTGTCAGCAACTTGGTCATTATGAGGAACGTTGCTACACAAAGTATCCTCACCTGCGACCTTCTCATGCTGCTAATATAGCTCAATCGGATATTGCTTCAAATGGTACAGTCTCTCTCTCCTCTGAAGACTATGCAGCACTCCAGACCCTTCTCATGAAGGTCTCTCCTCAGTCTCAGGCCTCTGCTTCAGAAACTGGTAATCTCATTGCTTGTGTTTCTCATTCTGCATCAGTTGGTCCTTGGATATTTGACTCAGGTGCTACTGATCACCTCTGTGGTAATAAAGAACTCTTTTCATCCCTTACATATTCTGATAATTTACCCTCTTTTACTCTTGTTAATAGCACTAAGGCCCCTGTTCATGGGATTGGACAAATATGTCCAACCTCCTCATTGACCTTGACATCTGTCTATTACATTCCTAACATCCCTTATAATCTAATATATGTTAGTAAATTGATCAACTCTCTTAACTGTATTGTCACCTTCTCAAACCATTCTGTTTCTGTGCAGGACCCGGGTACGAGGAAGACGATTGGAGTGGGCCGTGAGTCACGGGGTCTGTTCTACCTTGTTGTGCCGAGTCCTTCCGTTGCTTGTTCTCTCACAGAATCTCCACAACTCATCCACAGTCGCCTCGGGCATCCTAGTCTTTCAAAATTACAGAAGATGGTTCCTCTTTTATCCAGTCTTCAGACTTTAGATTGTCAGTTATGTCAGCAAGGAAAGCACATACGCTCCTCCTTTGCTAATCGAGTCAATAAACGAGCCGATACTCCTTTTTCAATTATTCATTCAGATATTTGGGGTCCTAGTCGTAGTGTGTCTGTTTTAGGTTTTCGGTATTTTGTTACCTTTATTGATGATTTTTCCCGTTGTACTTGGATTTATTTAATGAAAAACCGTTCTGAGTTATTTTCTATTTATAAAAAATTCTCTGCTGAAATTCATACTTAATTTGGTGTTTCTATTCGTATTTTACGTAGTGATTATGCTAAGGAATATGTTTCTGTTGACTTTTCTAATTTCTTAGCCACACAAGGTACTTTACACCAAACTACTTGTCCTCACACTCCACAACAAAATGGAGTAGCTGAACGTAAGAATAGACATCTCATTGAGATTGCACGGACTCTTCTTATTCACATGCATGTTCCTCTTCACTTCTGGGCCGATGCAGTCCTTGCTTCTTGTTTTCTCATCAACCGTATGCCATCATCTGTGCTTAATAATGACATTCCTTATAACTTATTGCTTCCAGATGTTCCTCTCTATCCTCTATCCCCACATGTCTTTGGTTGTACCTGTTTTGTTCATGATCTCACTCCTGGTAAGGACAAGTTAACATCCAAAGCCTTTAAATGCATTTTTCTTGGTTATTCTCGTCTTCAAAAGGGTTATCGTTGTTACTCTCCCGATCTTAAGCGTTACTTAGTTTCCGCTGATGTCACCTTTCTTGATCAACAACCCTTTAATTCTATCTCATCTCAATTGTCACAGATTGATCATGTTCTTCTTGTTCCTTTTCTTGACTTGTCTTTGTCAGCTGCAGGTGCTTCTATTCCAGATGATCAACCTATTACTTCTATACCTGAGGACCGTCCACTTCTCACCTATCAGCGTCGCAAAACTGTGCCTCCTGTCGACTCGACTCTTGCTGACTCATCGCCCACTGTTGTTGATTCTTCCCCTCTGGCTCCTTCACCAGAGGCTCTTCCCATTGCTCAAAGAAAAGGTACACGTACTACTCGTAACCCTTATCCTCTTTATACCTTTTTGAGCTATGACCGTCTTTCTCCACCTCATTTCACCTTTGTTTCTAGTCTTTCTTCTGTTTCTATTCCTAAGACCACAGGTGAAGCACTTTCCCATCCAGGGTGGCGCCAAGCGATGCTTGATGAGATGATTGCACTTCATTCCAATGGCACTTGGGACCTTGTTTCTGCTCCTCCAGAGAAATCTATCGTTGGTTGTCGCTGGGTTTTTACTGTGAAAGTTGGACCTGATGGCCATGTTGATCGACTCAAGGCACGCCTAGTTGCAAAGGGTTTTACTCAAATCTTTGGCCTTGATTATAGCGATACATTCTCTCCGGTCGCTAAGATGGCGTCAGTTCGCCTATTTCTTGCTCTTGCTGTTGTTCGTCACTGGCCACTCCTTCATCTTGACATCAAAAATGCCTTTCTTCATGGTGATTTACAAGAAGAAGTTTATATGGAGCAACCACCTGGTTTTGTTGCTCAGGGGGAGTCTGAGAAGTGTGTCGTCTTCGAAAATCCTTATATGGTCTCAAGCAGTCTCCTCGGGCATGGTTCAGTCGCTTCAGTTCTGCTATTCAGGCGTTTGGCTTAATTCACAGTAAAGTTGACCATTCTGTATTTTATAGGATCACATCTCCTGGTAAGTGCATCTATTTGTTAGTCTATGTTGATGACATCATCCTCACCGGGAGTGATCAAGCTGGAATTCGTCAGTTAAAACAGTATTTATTCAGTCAATATCAAACAAAGGACCTCGGGAAGCTGCGTTACTTCTTGGGAATTGAGGTAGCACAATCTACACAGGGCATTTCTATCTGTCAAAGGAAGTATGCCTTAGATATCCTATAAGAGACTGGTATATTGGGGGTGTAAACCAATTGATACACCCATGGATCCCAATGTCAAGTTATTTCCCGGACAGGGGGAGTTGTTATCTGATCCTGGTCGTTATCGGAGGCTAATTGGGAAGCTCAATTATCTTACGGTGATGAGGCCAGACATTTCTTTCGCTGTTAGTACGGCTAGTCAGTTCCTTGATTCCTCTTGTGATTCTCATTGGGATGCTGCTGTGAGGATCCTCCGATACATCAAAGGAGCACCAGGAAAATGTTTGTTGTATTCAGATCAGGAAAATACAGAAATTTGTGGTTATTCAGAGGCTGATTGGGAAGGATCATCCTCAGACAGGCGCTCTACTTCTGACTATTGTGTCTTCTTTGGAGGAAACTTAATTTCTTGGAAGAGCAAGAAACAACTTGTTGTTGCTCGATCTAGTGCAGAAGCTGAATATCGTGCAATGGCAATTACTACATGTGAGTTAATATGGTTAAAGCAGTTGATTCAGGAGCTTCGTCTTTGTGAACAGAAACAACTCATGACACTCATTTGTGATAATCAAGTTGCGCTACATATATCCTCTAATCCTGTATTTCATGAGAGAACCAAACATATAGAGATTGATTGTCACTTCATTCGAGAAAGGATTCAGTCAAGAGAAATCAAGACAGCTTTTGTCAACTCTAATGATCAACTAGCGGATGTCTTCACTAAAGCTCTCAGAGGTCCTCGGGTTGAATTCATTTGTAGCAAACTTGGTGCTCACAATATATACGCACCAGCTTGAGGGGGAGTGTTTGATTAGATATGATTAGATACGATTTGATTACTTCCTATTGTAAATATTATTCCTTTGGATTAGTTCTAGGCTTCTCACTTAAGCCCATTAGGGTCTCTATATATTGTAACTCTTTCTATCAGATTAATACACAACATATTATTTTATATTCAAGTGATTCTATAGTTCAAGAGTACAGCTGTATTATATAGAACAAATAAATAGACAGCTATTATCTCAACCACCTCAAAAGTCAGCTGAAGCATTAGTAGAGTAAACTACACAATCACCCCATAATTGTAGCATTGAAAACCAACTTACACGAATCTGGCATACTTAATTCTCCGAGCGACATATATATGGAATCATCCTCAGCAAGTGTCCCCTGAAAAAAGAATGAAATTATGAGAAAATCGAGAATTATGGTTAATAATAATTACCTTATCTGGACAAAAGAAAATGCAGCTGAATAAGTTGGCATGTCCATTTCATTGTTGATTAGAAAGACATGCAGCAACTATCAAGTCTGCAAAGGTTATATTAAAAGAATAACAAAATCCAAACCATTTTGAAGCTAGCATTGGTACCGTTCCATTATGAAGGCCCATTTCATTGTGCACAGAATTTATATCGGCGGGTACGGAAGAACAGTTTGGGAAATCTGTCCCAAGCAACTCTGAAATCATTAGCCCATATCCATCCTGAACATCATGTATATCAGCAGCATTTTGAGCATGGTTGGAAAAACCTTCAAGGCCTGGAAACATAGTCTCTGTCCTGTGTATTTGAATGACAATGCATTAGTAAGAGAGCTGCAAAGTAAATGAAGGATCTTTAAAACCTATATACTCCAGCTGATGTTTTTGCTACATAACTGGAAGAAAGGATGATATCTAGATCAATTAGGTCTTAACAAACACTAAAATTAGACCGAGGATAGAAACATTTAACAAAGCTGACATAAGCATGAAAAAAAATAGAAAAAAACGTACTTTCTCTCAATATTGTCGATTGACTTTTCTTCTTGAGTGGAATCGTTTTCTAGATCAATTACTTCAATCTCTTTGCCACTTGTTGCACAAGTACTGAATTTGCTTGATACACTAGCGCGACTCATGGTCAGATCTATATCAACTGGTATAGCTTTCTTTGTTTCAGAAACAGGGAGGGGAAAACTAAGAACTTGATGATCAACATGATTTTCATGGACTTCAGATGCTTCAATGAGATTCAGATCACAAGTTCTAAACGAACTCGGCAATGATGGCTTCTCCTCTGAACATTGAAGAAACGGTCTATCTCCACCTTCTGTGAACTGAGAACTACTCATTAGGCTGCCCTGATCAGAAGTCATAGCAACTTTGTCAATACATGAAATTTCATCTTCCCCTGGGCTCTCTTTCACTTCGATTGGATTGTTATGCAGAAAGTACCCATCAGCCTTTGGGACAAGGGAGGGCCGCCACTCTCTGAGTCTTTTGGTTTCCTCCCTCAGATCATTAGCTTCTGCCACACGTTTTTCACCCCTTTCTTCAGCTATAGAACTGCAGCTTCCATACTGTGGTAATGCAGCACTAGAATCTTGGTTGTTATCATGCATATAACCTGTATCTTGACCAGATTGAGATACAATAGATTGAACTTCCTCAACATTACATGCAGTATCTAATTCTTTCATATTCTCAACAGCATGGACAGGTTCTACCTTGGCAATGTCTGAGTCAAGATGTTCTAAATCATAATTTTTGTCAGATAGCAAATCAACTGAGGTTGAGGGGCATTTAACAGACTCATTTTCAGCTAAGACTTCAGGTCCTTGAAGATCCCCAATATCATGAGTATTTTTGTCTCCATTGTTCTGATGTGGAGGAGCCTTCAAATTCTTGCGTGCCAGCAAAGAGCGTGTCTTGGTAGGCACCTTAACAGATTTGCACAGCGAAACTAAATCAGCGAAAACCCTGCTAGAGCTATTATTCTCCTGATCACTGGACTGGATAGACAAATTCTTCGAGATAATTGATTTCTCATTATCATCATCGCCAGCGTTGTCCTTCCCCTCCTTAACTCCCACACTAATATTCTCCGAATCATTGGAGCTCTTGCCAAATTCCATATCTACATTATATGTATCTTTTCCAGCACCAGACGATTTCTGTTTTAAGTCCAACAATTCACCAGACACCCAATCCTTATCTGTCTCCGCATCTAAATCATCACCATCCTCACTTCTTTGCACAAATTCATTCGAATTTGATTTCTGCAAAACATTATCAACACTGACTTGCTGTTGCGGGTGCTGCTCCTCATCTTGTTGTCCAATACCACCACCACCACTAACACCGTCATCGTCATCATCATCATCCTTGATGTCAGGTCCACCTCTAAATCTATCAGACCATGACCCATTCCTTCTATATTCTCTGCCCCAATCCATTCCATAGCTCCTGAAACTTCCCCTCCTCCTACCCTTTTGCCCAAACTCTTCAAAACCCAATTTCCTCCTCCCAGAGGGTCCATCCACAGCTGCAACCGCATTTCCCAGCCGGGAAAGCGCCGATGTACGGCCTCCTTCAGCCGGAATTTCCCCAACACCGCCACCATACTTCTTAAAACCACCACCAACACCACCATTTTGATTGTGCCACTTCAAAGAGAGCACATTAGACGGCAGCAGCCCCTGAGAAACCAAATACTCGGCAGCAAGACGACCAGCTTCGACAAAAACATCGCCACCACCGCCGCGGCCGCCACCACCACCACCTCCTCCTCCTCCTCCTCCTCTGCGGTTGGCATGACCTCTACCAAAACTAACATCACGATGTTGTCGGTATTCAGAGGCATAAAACCCTCTAGGACTCCGTTGTCGAGGGTGCATAATGATTGGCTGTGGCTGAACCAAATACAATGATTGATGAACTGAATTGAATCACTACCACTCCTTGCTCAATTTCTTAATTTCAAAACCATAGTAGAGAGAAAGCACAATTCAACTAAAACAACAATTGTTAAAGAATTGAAATTACAAAAACAACAGATCTAAATATTCTAATTAGGTAGAAATTAGAATAGAAGCCTTCAAGTTACTGAAACTCATTATGTTGTGAGAGAGGGTTTTGAATTGATGCAGTGGTTGGTGGTGACGAACTCACCAGTTCATGTTCATGCCATAAACACAAAGATCTTTAGAGCATTATTTGGATTTCGATTTGAAGCATCAATCACTATAATCAATCAATTTGAGCTGAAATGGAACAAAAATAACATTAACAACACTTTCTTCCTCTTCCTCCACTACCGAGATGCTTCCTTCCTTCCCTTATTCTTTGTTCTTTGGGTTAGGGTACTGTGCCAAATCAATTTTCTTTACTTTTAGATTATTTTCTATTATTTTTAAAAACAAAAAAAATTAAATTAAGGTGTGATAGGTTCTTTATCAAATTTTATATCATTTTAAGTGTGATAGAAACTAATTCTCATAAAACCACTAGGCTGGTATGGGGTGTGTTCGGTATGTGTAGTGTTCATTCCCATTATAATTAAAAAAAGAAGAAATTATTTCTCACACTTTTAATGTTTTTTTGCAAGATTTAGTGTCACTATTTTTGTTATGAATTTTCTAAAGAAATAAATAAATACACGAAGAATTGGTTGAATTTGGTTATTTTTTTAGTTTATTTAAGAAAAGAGTATGTTTAGTTTCAAGACAATCCAAATGAACTAAAAATAAAGTGAAAATAGTATAAAATTTAATAACCATTATACTTGTGATATAAATATAGAATTCAAAAATGACATTTTTCAAAAAAAAAACAAAATTTATCTTACCAAAACATTATTCATTTTCTTTGAAAAAAAAAAAGATTCTCAAGGTCAAAAGCTTTCTCTCTCCCTCTTTTTTCCCGCAACCGCCTAGTCATATTTGGACCAATTTGCTGGCTCTGTTTTAGTTGAAAGAAAATAAATACCTAAGTTCAGTTTGGTTAAAATTAATAGGTTGGAATGTATTTTAATTTTTATAAGAGTCACTTGATTTTTTTAATTTAATTTTTCTTTATTTGTAAAATTATTTTTAGTTTTATCTTTATAATCAAATATTTTATATTATAAAAAAATTAGTATGAAATTACCATAAAATATAAGAAATAAATTAAAAGTAGCATTCACTTATGAGTAAAAAATTAATATTTTATGGTCTTTATATATAACACTGATTATTAATTTGCTATCTATACTTTTATTTGTTATAACTAATAAATAGTTTTATGACAGTAAAAATAACAAAGATCAAATTAAAATAATCATATATATTGAGATTAAATTTTATATATATATGTAAACTAATTTGAAATAAATGTCAGATAAAAATATTTTGTTCTTAAAAATATGAATGATTTAGTTCATTGGTAAGCTAATTTGATTTTATTAGATGTGAATGTGTTTAATGAGATACTTCTTTTTTTCTTTTTTTTTTGTAGACGTTGAGATATTGGAATGTGAAACATGTAAATTAGACTCTATCAAAGCTTTGTGACTAATAATTTAAAAATATATTTGTAAAACAGGCTTTACTAAATAATTTTTTAAAATCAAAAAATTATTTTTGAGAACAGAATTCAGCCCTTATCAAATATATTTTTTTAGAATAGAATTTAAACGTTCAATTATTAAGACTTTTTATTTATGCACGCACGCACACATACATACATGATTAATTATGCGGTTAAAGAAAAGGTGACGTGGAAATAAGGAACTGGATGCTGAGATGTCATGTTATGAATTATTAATTATTAATTATATTATTTGATATGTGTTATTATTTTCATCTTATTATTTTTGTAATTGGTTATTTGTTGTTATTTTAGGTGGTAATTTGAATTAGTCTAATAAAATTAATTTTATTTTTTTGGTACGTATCAAGTCACCTCAAAGTTAATACTGTTAGCGAATAAGGGAGGGGTTTTTGCTATTTTATGTGGTGATTTCCCATCGACCATTCTTCCAACACCAACACGCTTTTGCCACGTGTACTTGTTTGATGCAAAACCCTTCTACAATAAATGATTCAAATAAAATCAATGAATAATAATGTAAGAGCATGAATGTTTCTGTATGGGTTCACGCTTCTTTTTCTCTATTATGATAATATTAATATATTATAAAATAATATTTCTTATGTTATATAAAGGTTTTAATGTTTCTAGAGTGAATATAGATAAATTATTTACATTCACTCTCAAAACGACGTTGTTTTGCGTTGAAAATTAAAAAATTATAATGAGAAAGACTATTATAACCCTGAAATAAATTATAATTACAAAATACTTTGATTTCCGTCCCAAGACGATATCGTTTTGGACTCAATGTATATAACTTATCTACATTAACTGTAGAAAAGATGAACCCTATATAAAATAATTTTATTTTTTACATATACATAAAAATATGTGTAGAAGATTAAATTTTCCTATTATGATAATATTAATATATTCTAGAAATTAATATTTAATATTATAGAAGATTAATTATTTTATTGTTTATTTTTTGCATGGGCTCAACGCCCCAATAGCAGTTTTTTTTATTAAATAATAACTAAAAACTGAAAAATAAAATAAATAAAGAGAAAAGGGAAACCGAAATAATTAATTTAATTAGTTGGAATTTTTTTTAAAAAATATTCTAATATGTTCATTGTTTCGTGATTAGTTCAATTAAGGATAGATTCAAAGATTAAAACTTTAAGTTCTTCTCAAAAATTGTACTGGAAAGGATTGAATACATATTCTCACCATCAACTACTCAATTCCCTAACATCAAGTGAACTATAATCATTTAATTTGGAATGATATTTTTTGCTGTCACCTAAATTCCATATGTTGTGATTGTTGTATTTGCTTAAAACAAGGTCAGGGTAACCAGCTACATCCGGTTGCAGTAATCCTTTTGGAAATTTTCAAGAGCTTATTGCTTACAATTTCTGTCAGTTCTAATGGAATTATATTACAAACCGTTATCTTTTCTTCTGTCCTTAATTAATTAGTTATTAAACATAAAAAAAATTTATACTCAAGAATAAACATAATAACAAGTCAGTAGTGAGTAAACATGTAAGCTTGGGAAGAAAGAAGGGCAACACGTGGAGGTGACAGGCGAAAAATGTTAGAAAGGAGACAGTGCATGTTGCCATAGACGAAGCGCAACCATTAGATATATGTGGAAGGAGAGGACAGTAAGGATATAATGATGGAAATAAGTGAGTGAATCATAACCGCACAAGAGGATTTGAAGGTCAAGAAGAAATTGGTTGGCTTTTGCAGACAGAAATTCTAAGTTCTTTCATTCAGCTACTGTGACTCGAACCACGAGGAATAAGGTAAGAGTTCTTAAAAATGAGGAATGAGTTTGGGTGGATAAACCAAAGGAGGTCAAATCTATGGCAATTGGATTCTTCGAAAGCCTTTATGTGGAGGAAAGCCAAAATCTCCCAAGTCTTTGCATTGATAATTTCTTTCCAGTGATTGACAACTATAAGTGGAGAAGTATTGGAGGAACCCCTGATACGGAGGAAATAAAGAGTACCATATTTAAGATGAATCCATTCAAAGCCCCTGGGACTGATGGTTTACATGCTGTATTTTTTTACTCTCACTGAGATAAGGTGAGGAAATCTGTGTCCAATATTATAAAAGAAATTTTTCAAGAACCCGAGAAAGTGGCAGACATTAACCAAATTCTAATTTGCTTGATTCCGAAGGTGGAATACCCTGAGATGATCGGCCAATTTAGACCTATTAGTCTTTGTAATGTAATCTATAAAGGAATTACTAAGCTAATAGCTTCCAGGCTGAGAAATCACATGAGCTCTCTAATCATGCCAAACCAATGCAACTTTGTTAAAGGTAGGCATGCTTCAGATAACATTATTATCAGCCAAGAGATTTTTCATTCTATGAGGTATAAGAAAGGCAGAAAAGGGTGGATGACTCTTAAGGTTGACTTGGAGAAAGCCTACGACAGGGTGAGTTGGTCTTTTCTTGAGGAAACTTTGCATTTAACAGGTCTGCCCAACTCGCTTGTGAAGCTTATCATGGCTTGTGTCACAACCCCTTCAATGAACATTTTGTGGAATGATGCTCTAACTGAAGAGTTCACACCTTCGAGAGGTATTAGACAAGGAGATCTATTATCTCCTTATCTATTTATGTTATGCACAGAAAGGTTAGGCCATCTGACTAATTGTGCTGTTGAGAAAAAGGAGTGAAAACCTGTGAAGTTGGGGAAGAATGGCCCTCCAATCTCCCACCTATTTTTTGCAGATGATCTTCTTATTTTTCCAGAAGCTAATAGGGACCAAGCGAATCTGATTTCTAGCACTTTGAATCATATTTGCCAAGCTTCTGGTCAGAAAATTAGCAACAACAAAACTAGGTGTTGTTTCTCAAAAAATATGAATCATACAAGACGAAGTGAACTGAGTCAATCCATGAATTTTGACATCACTGCTGATCTAGGTAAATATTTTGGTATCCCCATCTTACATAAGAGAGTTAATAAGAATACTTTCAGCTATATTCTTGATAGAACGAATAGTAGACTGAATGCTTGGAAGGAGAAATCTTTATCCATGGCTGGTAGGGTAGTGCTCACCAAAGCAGTTCTTGTTGCTCTCCCAACTTATTCCATGCAGACTTCTTCGATTCCTGTAAGCACTTGTGATGAAATGGAGCAGAAGATGAGAGGATTTGTGTGGGGTTCTAACAG